GCTGAAGATATTGGATAATGCATCATGTGGACTCGAAGTAAAACCAAACTCATTCACAATAACACTAAACTTTGCATACCAGGCTTGAGGAGATTATTTTAACTTGTATAATGCACGTCATAATCGACATACCTTGTTTGGAGGATGGTTGAGCCGAAGAGGTGGTTTCATATAAACTTCATCTTTTAGGTCACCATTAAAAATTAACATTTTTCACATCCATCTGAAACAGTTTCCATCTTTGTATAGCAACAATAGTAAGCAAATTGTGCACAAATGTGAGACGAGCAACTGGAGCAAATGTATCCTCATGGTCTATTCCATACTCCTGTGTAAAACCCTTAGCAACCAAGCGTGTCTTATAACACTCCACAAAACCATCAGATCATGTTTTGATCTTGTATACCTATTTACAGCTTATTAGAGACTTTTCATCAAAAAGATCAACTAAATCACATGTATGAGTGTTCTCAAGAGTCTGTAATTCATCTTGTATAGTTTGTTGCCAAAGAGGGTTAGCAGAGGCCTCTCGATATGATTGAGACTCATGTAAAGAAATAATAGCAGGAAAACAATGAAAATTACGAAGATAGCTAAGAAGGTTTATTACCCCAATAGGACGACTTGAGGATGAGACAACAAGCTCATTTGGAGACTCAACAATATTAGATGCAACATCAATAGGTGATATAGATGAGGAAGTAGAGGAAGGCTCAAAATTATCTAATGCATTACCGGAAAGCAAATCATCTTCTGTAGAACCAGTTCAAGTATGTGGTGAGGCATTGTAGAGCTCATCAGATGTACTTGCATCAAAATCACTAGGGAATAGCTCAACATAAGGATTAGTAAAAAAAATAAAGGTTGATCAAAAGAAGACACTTAGAAGTTTGATAACGAGAAAAATATAGTGTGTTCACAAAAAAAGACATGACGTGAGACTCGAATTTTTTGTAACATAGGGATCCCAACAATGATATCCTTTATGTGTAATCCCATAACCCAAAAAACAATACAATCGAGCTTTAGGCTCTAACTTGTTATGTTCATGAGGTGAAAGAAGAACAAAACAAGTATAACCAAAAACCTTAAGAAGATCATAAATAGGAGGAATATCATGTAAACATTTATATGGAGACTTATTGTTGATCACTGAGGATGGAATCCGATTAATGAGATAAATAGCTATAAGAGTAGTTTCACCCTAAAATCGCTTCGGACAAGAAGATGAATTGAGCATAGCACGAACAGAATCAAGGATATGTTTGTATTTATGTTCGGCTTGCCCATTTTGTTCAGAAGTGTAAGGACAAGATTGTTGTGTTAGTGTACCCTGTTCTTTGAGAAATATTGAAGTTTAGTACTAAGATATTCAGTGATATTGTTAGTTCTCAAATTTTTGATAATTTTAGAGAATTGAGTTTTGATCATGGTAGCAAAATCAATATAAATTTATGGTAACTCAGAGCGATTTTTTATAAGATATATCCAGATAAAATGAGTATGATCATCAATAAATAACACAAAGTACCTGGAAGGTCCCCATGGTGAGTGTAGGAGATGGACCCAAACATAATGCATGAGATCAAAAGGAGCAATAGAATGAGAATGACTACTCAAAAAAGATAAAGTTGGTTGTTTTGCAGATTGACATGACACACAATGCAAAAATTCATTCAGAACTGATTCTAATAAACCATGAGAGATAAGTGGACGAAGTTTATCGACTGAGATATGTTTGAGCCGTGAGTGCGACCAATGAAGAGGAGAAACATTAGTAGCAACACAGGCTTGTAAAATTTGTTGGTATGAAATTTGTAAAGACTCTAATTCAACAACACAAAGTAAGGTTTGGATGAATTAATTATTTGGAAATGATGGTGTATCCATTTTATTATCATGAATATGCAGATAGTTGAGCTCAAACAAACGCTCCACCTTGCAACCAGTTCTAAGAAGTTGTCCTGTCCATGGATCCTACACATGACAACCATGAGTAGAAAATGTTACTTCAAGACCAAAATCACATAATTGATCAATAGATAGAAGATTATAACTAAGTTTTGGAACTAAGAGGGCATTTGGTGAAGTCAATGACTTTGTAGAAATATTACCCATGTGACTAATATTCATAGGGAAACTATCAGCAAAATAAATATCAGGAAATGAATTATATGGTGATATTTAAGAGAAATGAGCAGTAATTGAAGACATATGATTACAACAACCAGAATCAAAATACCAAGGTTTGGTACTTGTAGCAATAGACAAGATAGTAAGAGTATTAAAAAGACGGATTCAAGGTTGACATTAAGTTGGTTTATTATTTCTTTGGCAATCATATCAATAGTAGGATGAGTTACAGTCCTCTCAAAACTCGCCATGGAATTAATAAAACTAACAATACTGAAAAAATCTAAAAAATATGAAAAAACAGATGCCCAGATCGAAATAACAAGCCAACAAAATACCTCAGAAAGGGCCAGTGAATCGAGGATAAACAATGCAATCTGTAGAAGAAAAGATCCAAATGTAAAAGTTTTAGATCTGGAATGGAATTGAAAATCCAACTCCAAAAACCAAACAACGATGATAAGAGAAAAGAACCATGAGTTTATAGCTCTAACACCATGTTAGAAACTGAAAAGAAGAATAATAATTTGAAAAAATGTTTATTGCTTTCTTGAATGATACTGTATGTACAATAATTTATATATAGGTATTTATAAAGAGGATATTTTAAAGTATAAAATATATAAAAAGAATATTCTAATGTATAAAATATTTACAATAAGTGTGTTTATATCTTAACAACAATTAAAAGCTAATAATTAACATTTGACAATTGATAATTATTATTATTTATAATTCAAAATATTATTCATTTAATTAAAACCAATAATGAATCATTGTTTTCAAAAGGTCATCAGAAATATATACGGTTGGTGAGGTGACTGAAGACAATGAGAACAGCCTGTCTTCAGGCTGGAACTTCCTGGTGAGTTGACTGAAGACAAGTAATTTGTTAATTCTTATATAAGCATACAAAACAGAAAAAATGAAGCTTCTTTTTCCACAGTATATTACTGGAAATAGTCAGCATCAAGAAATATTTCCACTGCTGTAGAATTGAACCCGTCTTTCGATGCTTCGGGGCTCTTCCTGAAGCTTGGCTCTCCTGCTAAGAAGGGAAGCTATCATAACCGGAATCTGGTAAGGCTGATGTGAAGCTTTGAGCTAACATTATTATCTTGTTGGTTGTTGCCAACAAGTCCAGTGACCAGTTCTTAATGTTTTATGCTGTAAGTGAAGGTAGCTTAATATTTGCTGTATGGAAACCCGTGATAAGCTTTAATGGTCATTATGTCACCATTTTAATCATCTGATTCTCTGCTTGTTCACCATTTAGAATGATTAGATTTAAATTGCTCTCTACGGCCCAGAAGTTGACCAAATTTGCTAGTAAGACGGTGATGAATGGTTCTGAGGTGGCTTTTTCTGTGGCAGTTGAACTAAAACAAGAACAGTTTACATAATCTGGGGCCATAAAATACAGTCATGATAGACTCGTCTAGACCATTGAAGGCTCTACGAAACTAACCGGCTTTACAGAGCGCTTTTAAACAATCACCCTGCTCTCGAATCTATGCCAAAAGTAGTTTTTCAACAAAAGGGAGTTTGGGGTTCTAGGAATCAAGCCCTGGCTTTCAGTTTAACAGTGACTTTCAGCTGTTAGTGTGAACTTTTATATTTAATATACATATATAAGTCTCTGAAGTCTTCATCTGAGGCCGTAACTGTTGAACCAAGGCTGAGCAAATTGAAGGCAGAAGTCAAGGGTTATGTCAATATTGAGCACCTAATCAATATTCTATACCAACTGCAGAGAAGCTAACATTCAACTTATAAGCTCAAAAGGTCAATAAGTGAGCAAGAATGAAATAATACAGAATCAAGCCAAAGAACAGGTCCACACACACCAGAAAATCGGACCAAAAAAACAGACACGAATTTTTTATATTCCTCAAATTCCAGTAGCAGAAACTCGAGCTGTTACAACAAGGGAACGGAAAGTAAAAAATAAGGCAGACATAGAACTTTAGGAGCCAATTACTAGCAAACATATTATATTGAAAACTGCTAACCAAGACCAACCTAAGCTACGGGGACAGTCCTGTTGTTATAAGATGAGCCTTCCCCTTCTGCTGCTTCATCTTCGTTCTCACCTGACATTTCTTCCAATGATTTTCCTTTGGATTCAGGGACCAAGAAGGTGAACAAGCAGCCCAAGGCATTGATTCCACCTAACACGAGAAGTGCATTCTTGATCCCAATACCTGCAGGATACCCTGCATCTGCCTTGGTCTTATCCTGGTTCTGAGCCAGATACAAGAACCCAAATGCACCTACAATAGCACCAAGCTTACCGGATGCTGCTGATATGCCATGGCAAGTTGACCTTAACCTTGCTGGGAAAATCTCGGCCGGTACAACAAATGTGGTAGCATTAGGCCCAAAGTTTGCAAAGAAGAAAGTCAACGAGTACATTACCACAAATCCAATTCTGTTCTCCTTGTGAGTCCAGTGATCATAAGGAATAGCGAGGGCAAACATGAAAACTGTCATGAAGAAGAATCCCATCAACTGGATGGCAAACCTTCCCATTTTGTCAATGAAGAAGACAGTGAACCAGTAGCCTGGAACAGTACTGCAAAGAGCAATAAGTGTTTGTGCCCTTGCAATTCTGAGAACTTCTTCAATGGCGTTCATCGTCT